CTTGGGGGAGTGGAGGTTAAGAGATCAAGCTGTGAGCTAAGAAATGCCTGGTATAAATTTCATCAACACTATAAAATTGGTAGACAGCATGAGGCAAGATACTTCCTTTCAGTCAGTTATGCACCAGTAATATAGAGATAATGGGCTAAATTTAATTTTTAATCCCACCGGAATGAATGGAACTTTTGAAGTCACCTTTTATGTAAGAATAGTTCATTCGTGGTTCTGCTCTAGTTGGGACAAATAATTGGATTTGCCCCATTATGCCACTTTACCAGAAGAGGTGCTTTAAATATTACAGTATTGAAATAACATATTTTGCACATCCTTTTTTCTTTTTTTCTTTCTTTCTCCCTCCTTCCTTTTCACTTTTTTTCTCTCTTATTTGCAATACATTTCTAAAAATAAAAACAAAAACAATTGTCATGAGTGGATGTATTTAGAAGGTGCACCCACTGGAATGTTCATGTCTATGTGATTGTTACATACACTTGAAGTAACCTGTATTGTATTTTTTTATACTTTGGCATCAAGGCTTCATTTCAGTCTCCCTACCTGCTGTTGCATTTCACATTCATTGCACTTACAGGTTTGATGGTAATTGCACCCCGTGGGACAGTCTGGGAGGTGTAGGATAGTATAATATTATTATTTGTACCTGAGCCACAGCCACTGAAAGAAGATAACACTGAGCTGAGGGTAGGGGTGATTTGACTGTTATGTAGCATGAGGTAGCCGGCTCAGATGGTAGGCGGCAGTAGGGGCAGGCCTCCAACCACTCTTTGTGAGTCACATCTCCATTTTCTTATGATGGTGAACATCATCTCTGTGCCTCATGACCTGCCTTGCACTCCCTAAACCAGCCTGCTGCCCTCAGGTGACAGAAGGCACAATCCCATGTGTTTTCTACAGTGGACCCTCTACTTACGGAATTAATCCATATTGGAACAGTGGCTGCAGGTCGAAAAGTCTGTAGGTCGAGTTTCCATTGACCTACAATGCATTATAAACCGATTAATCCCATAACCAGCCGCTTTTGTTCTGTTTTTGTAGGTCAATTCTCCGGCTGCAAGTTGAACCAAAATTTTGCGTCCAGAGAAGTTTGTAACTCGAAAGGTCTAAGTCGAGCCGTCTGTAAGTCGAGGTTCCACTGTACTGAGTACAGTCCAGCTTGGTTCTAGGACAGTTGGTAAGATTGCAGTTTTATACTGCAAAATGCATACCAAGGAATAAAATCCAAAAGATTTATATCCAACACACATGACGGGCCACTTGCTTTAAAGCTCTTTTTTGCCTTTTTTCAATAGTGGCATTGCCACTGCAAAGAAACTTTAATTCCTTTGGTTTGTTTCCCCCATTTAACAACTATAATGTTAGAATGCCACCTTGTGGTAAACGGCTGATATTGATATTGTTTCTTTCATCTCATGCCACATACAATTTAATTTTCTCCTGTTGTGGTAAGAAGCATAATTGCTGTGGTAAAATAAAACATACAGAGAAACTGCGAATGGTACCAGGTTGCTATTGTTGTTGGTTTACATAAAATGATAATCCAAATAAAGTTAAATAGATACGGGGTGTAATTTTACTTTAAAATACATCAGAACAAACAAAAATAGGTATATTAAGCGATAGCACCACCTGCTGTTATACTGAAAAGGGGAAAAAAGTAGAAAAGCTGTACAGGAGTGTGATCTGATTGGTATTTAGTCCATTGGTTGGTCCACTGTCAGGACAGGTTGGTTTGCTCCTTTTTCCTGAAATCATGCAACATAATAACTGGAGTGAACCAAATTCTTCCTCAGAGTGTTCCTACTCGTACTTTTCAAGTGCATGTAGAATTTGCTCTGATTTGGTCCACTTCCAGGCCATAATCATTGGAATTTCCAGTATCATGAAGTAGCTTGATAAGCAAGCCACTTCAGGATATTGAGAAATTGAACATTTCCTTTGTTCCTTAGCAGGGAGGGTAAAATAAGTGATTTTTTTAAAAAAAGACTGTAGTAGTAATAATAATAATAATTTTAGAACTGTAGAGCTGGAAGGGACCCTATGGTTCATCGAGTCTAGCCCCTGTCAAGGAGGCTCAGTGGGGAATCAAACTCTCAACCTCTAGCTCCGCAGCCAGATGCCTAAACCACTGAGCTATTCATCAGACCATCGCTGATGTGCTGCATCACTATATATATTTAAATTCTTTGCCTTGACTAAAGTTGAAAAACTGCTCAAATAGGGTCTCATGAGCTCCGATATGCTACAGTGGGGTCTTGAGTTACGAACGGCCTGAGGTACGAACTTTTTGAGTTACGTACTTCTCCGTCCGCAAAAATCCATTTTGACTTGCGGACGGAGAATTGAGGTACGAACCCAAAAGTTTAAAAAAAAGAGCGGGAAAGCACCTGGAGCTGGGTGGCGGCAGCGTGGCGAGAGGCGGCGGCGCTGCTCCTGCTCCGGGATTGGGGCACCTCGGGGCTTTCCGGCCATCAGAATTCCAGCCCGGCCGGGGCCTCTGCCTGTCCTGGGTGGGCCCCGCTGAGCCGAGCTCCGGCGGCGGTGGCAAAAGGCAGCGGCGAGGACGGCAGAGGAGCCTCCGAGTGCCCCGGTGAGCCCGAGCAGGAGGGCGGGAGCGAGTTGCGGAGTGGCACTGTCGCTGGGAGGGCTCTGCGCCGCGGAACTAGGCGGGCGCGGGCGGCGGGTGATGGAAACGGGAGGAGAGCGAGGAGGGCGAAGGCGACACGGTTGGGTGGGCGATGGCAGCCTGAATTTCCTTTGTTCCTTAGCAGGGAGGGTAAAATAAGTGATTTTTTTAAAAAAAGACTGTAGTAGTAATAATAATAATAATTTTAGAACTGTAGAGCTGGAAGGGACCCTATGGTTCATCGAGTCTAGCCCCTGTCAAGGAGGCTCAGTGGGGAATCAAACTCTCAACCTCTAGCTCCGCAGCCAGATGCCTAAACCACTGAGCTATTCATCAGACCATCGCTGGTGTGCCACATCACTAGATATATTTAAATTCTTTGCCTTGACTAAAGTTGAAAAGCTGTTCAAATAGGGTCTCATGAACTCCGATATGCTATTTTGGATAAGAGATTAAGCACACACACTTACCATGGTGTAGCATTCACCCTTTGTTAGGTATAGTCATGTATTATTCATGTCTATGCTAATAAGGTGGAGAGGCGGAGCCAAGAGAGAGTTTAAAAGGCGGAGCCTGAGAGGAGGAGTCAGTCAGTCAAGAGTCAGTCAGGAGTGAGTCAGTAAGTTAGAGTCAGAGGCTGAAGAGATAGAGGTTGAGTTAGAGACTGGTTAAGCTAAATAGATAGAGAAGGTGGAAATTATATGGCGAGAGTATAGTATGTACATCTGAAGAACTTCTGTGATTATTAAATTGACTTCACTTTAATAAATAAGTTTTGTTTGCATTCACCATACAAGTGTCTTATCAAACGCCATTTATTTTGTCGATTGAGGTAATCCACTGGTGGCGGTGAAAGGAAAAGGACTGGAAGGAACCTTTGTGAGGGGACAAAATGTAGGTGCCTCAAGGAGGTGAACATCACACATGGGAACACTGTTGTCTGCTGAAATTCATCAGAGCCGTTTCAATTTTATATCAATTTTTATCTTTTTTGTTGTTTGTGCAGAGGTGAACTAATGCTAACCTAATGTAGCAATGCAGTAATAAGATGAACTAGTGCTAGATTCAATCATTTGCTTTTTAAAAGATAAACATAAGTACTTTGAGGTGACTAGGGAGAAAGATTATGGGGTGGATGTTCCCGCTGTCCCAAAACATCATGCCCCAACTTACTGTATCACTAGAAAACTACCATAAGTCATGTTCCCCCATCTGTTTGTGGAATGAAAGAGATGATCACATAGAAAAAAAATGTTCAAATCGTTCCAGCTTGAAAAAAGTAAAAGCCCTCAGCAGCGGGGAGAGGGGTGTCCAGATTGGAAGGGAAAAAGGATGAGCTGATTTGCATTTTTCTTCATACCATGTGATCATTGAAGAATGCTTTGAATTCACCCATGCCAAAGCAAATGCAAAGTATTTTCCAATGTAGTTGAATGCTTAGTCTGGAGAAAAGAAGTCTGAAAGGTCATAAATAATACCCATCTTCAAATAACTGTATTTGAAAGGTTGCAACTTGGAAGAAAAGGACGTGGTGGCGCTGTGGGCTAAACCGCAGAAGCCTGTGCTGCAGGGTCTCAAGACCAGCAGTCGTAAGATCGAATCCATGCGACGGAGTGAGCTCCGGTCACTTTGTCCCAGCTCCTCACCAACCTTGCAGTTCGAAAGCATGCAAATGTGAGTAGATAAATAGGTACCACCTCGGTGGGAAGGTAAAACGGCGTTCCCTAGTCACGCTGGCCACATGACAATGGAAACTGTCTTCAGACAAGCGCTGGCTCTACGGCTTGAAAACGGGATGAGCACCGCCCCCTAGAGTCGGACACGACTGGACTAAAAATGTCAAGGGGAACCTTTACCTTTTACCTTTACCTAACTTGGAAGAAGCAGCAAGCTGCTTTTCTTTGTTCCAGAGGGAAGGACCCAAAGAAATAGATTGAAATAATGAGAAAGGCGTTTTCTCGTAAATATTAGGGAGAACTTCTTGCCATTAAGAGCTGCTCAACAATGGAATGGGCTGCCTTGGAGGATGTTTGCCTATCCTTGTCACTGCTTGACAAGTGACAACTGACCCTGAATTTTCACAACACAAATTGATTCATAAGAACTCAACAATCCCTGAAGGGCTTACTTGGATCACTGAAGATAAAGACAAGCTGTTTCTCTGCTCCAATTTGACATTTATATAAATAGCAAATAAATGATCTGAAAAACCACTTTGTTTTACTACTTTCCCCTCTTTCTGTAACTATTGTGATGGCATACCATTTGCATGTGGATGAGGTAACAAATAAGCCATAAGCTCATTGGCTGTCTTAAGTCATCTGCTAAGGATGACCTAGATACCATTGTTGAACTAAAGTCTACTGCTACAGTGGTACCTAAGTTACTGTAACTCCCCTGTATCTCACTCTTGTCTAGAGGAGAAGATGCCATCCATAAGAGAACACCTTAACACCCAGACGTCATGAGAATAAAGTATCATCAAGTTCAGCAACTGTTCTTTTCCTATCCACAGGTAAGAAAAAAAAGTGACTATCTCTTTCTTCCCTTTGTATTGTAAGGTCTACAAGCTTCCAGAAGGCAACCATGGATTTTTCAGTTTGAAATTAAAGGAGCCCAGAGATGTTATGCCTAGATGATGTCAGATAAAACCACCCTAAGTTCTAGTAGCCAGGAACAATTATTTTTGTAGAATTCCTCACTCCTAACCTCCTTCATTGCTGTTAAGAGGCCAAATAGTCCACCAGGAAGAGGGGCTGAACCTGTCTTTTTCAGTGATCAGATTTGTCATAAAGGAATAAGAAGAAAAATCAGGAGAGTTGGTGGACTGGAAAAGAAACCAAGGACAGAACTTTTGATAAGGTATTCCTTATTTTTAAACGGTGTTCATTGTGAAGGGAAAGTAGTTACAAGGGACTTCTCATGATCAATAAAGAAGTGGTATGAAGAGAACACTTAGCTACATTAAATGGATTGGAGTCTCCAGGGTGAGATGAACTGCACCCAAGGAATGGAATTTACGGATGCAATCTCCAAGCATCTGTCTACCGTCTCTGAGAATTTTTGGCGAACAGGTGAGAACCCTGAAGAATACAGGGCTGCAGATGGTGTCCCCATCTTCATCAAGGGGGAACAAGAGGACCTAGGTAACTCTTAACAAGCTAGTGACATCACAACCAGAACAGTTCTAGAACATATAAACGGGAGATTGATGAATGCTTAGAAAATGATGCTGTGATTACTAAGGGCTGGCCTGGTTTTTCCAAAAGCCAGACATGCCAGACTAATTGTACTCCTTTTTTGAAGACTTATAAGCTTGGGGAATGCTGTGGAACTAGTGTATCTAGATTTTAGCAAGGCTTTGAGATAGGCCTCCCATAATATTCTTGCAGACAGGCTGGAAAAATAAAGGCTAAATGATGCCACTTCTGGTGGATTTGCCATTGACTGATGGGCTGTAGCCAAAGAGTATTAACTTGTGCTTCTTTGTCATCCTGGAGAAAACTAGCAAGTGGGTGTTTTAGGGTTCTGTCCTGGGCCTGTGCTGTTCAACACCCAAATAAACGGTTTGTATGAAGGAGTGGAGATGCTCTTCATCAAATTTGTGAAATACACCATACTGGGAGGTGCAGTTAGTGTCTGAGAGAACAGAATCAGGATTCAAGATCAACTTAATAGACTGGAGAAGTGGGCCAAACACAGGGATGAATGAAAACCATATTTAGGCAGGAAAAACTAGATGCCCAAATATAGGATGCTGATATGTAGCTTGACAGCAGTATGTGTGAGATGAATCTGGCGATCTTAGTAAGCTACAAGTTAAATATGAATTATGTGATAGTGTCAAAAAAACTGATGTAGTTCCAGGCTGCATCATCAGAAGCAGGGTGCCAAGATCAAGGGAAGCAATCATACTCTTCTATTCTACTGTAGTCAGACCTCATCTAGACTACAATGCCCAGTTCTAGGCAGCACCATTTAAAAAAGGATACCATCAGGTTGGAACAGACCCAGAGGAGGGTCATCAAGATGGGAAGTGATAAAAGTTAAAGGTCTAGTAACAGATGCCTGAAAGCTCTCCATTGTTCTAGTGCTGTTACCACCTACCAGGCTCGAGGTAGCCAGCTCATTCGTCCCTCCACTCAAACTTTGGTGCTGTTGAATGCCAGGTCTGTATCCAATAAAGCCCAGCTAATACAAGATCTTATTCTGGAAAAAGATGCAGATCTGGTTTGCATGACTGAGACGTGGACAGATAGTGAAGGGGGTGTACCCCTGTCTCTGGCCTGTCCCCCCGATTATGCTGTCTAGCACCAGGGTAGACTGGAGGGTTGGGGTGGGGGAGTTGCCATTGTTTATAAGGACAACCTTGAAGTTGTCAGGCATTGTGCCATGGCGATGCCAGGCCTAGAGGCCCTCCACATGTCGCTTGGGGCCAGGGATGGTATTGAGATCTTGCTGGTATACCGTGCTCCCCACAATCCAGCCAACTCCCTACGGGAGCTAACCGACTTTGTCTCTGAGGCTCTGTTGGGATCCCGGAGACTGATTGTCTTGTGCGATTTCAACATTCATGCAGAGGTGGTGGTTACCAGTCCGGCTCTTGAGTTCTTGGAAACCATGGCTTCCTTGGACATGTCTCAAAATGTTAACGGCCCCACACATGTAGGTGGCCACACTTTGGTCCTGGTTTTCTCCACTGAGCAGAGAGAGTGTGGCCTGATGGTGGCTGACCTTCGGTTAGTCCCCTTGTCACGGTCGGACCATCACCTGATAAAGTGCAATCTCACAGTGGCCCTCCCTGTGGGGAGCAGAGACTTATTTTCATGGTCCGCCCTCACAGGCTACTAGATCCTATTGGAGTCCAGGATGCCATGCATGGGATTCCGATTGACTTGGTTGGGACTCCTGCCGAGGCCCTGGTGGATGGCTGGTATGCCGCCGCTGCCAGGGCTGTAGACATGATCACTCCTAAACACCCTCTCCATTGCAGAGCCCGGCCAGCACTTTGGTTTAACCACCAGCTGCAGTCTATGAAGTGGAATAGAAGAAGGCTAGAGAGCATTTGGAGGCGGAACCTGACAGAAAATAACTTAAAAGCTGCCGAGGTTGCATCTAACCAGTACCTTGGTGGCCTTGCTCTCGCTCTTCTCAGGTCCTCCTTGGAGGGCTGTTCCCAGAGAGTACAGCTTGAGGAGAATGTATTGGCCCATGGTCCCTCAGTTGTGTGGTCACGCAGAGTTCAGTCATCTCCCCAATGCTGTTTAACATCTATATGAGGCCATCGGGGGAGGGGGGATCATCCGGGGATGTGGAGCTTCATGTCACCAATATGCTGATGACACCCAGCTCTACATCTCCTTTTTTCCATCTGCAGTGGATGCCGTTCCATCCCTTGGGTGCTGCCTGGAGGCCGTTCAGCAATGGATGCAGTCAAATAGACTGATCCCAGACAAGACGGAGGTCCTGCAGGTGGGGAGCCCTGATGTCAGTGCTTTGGGGAACTCCCTCTCTTTTTTTGGGGGGGGGCTGACTCTCACCACAAAGAATTCCATCTTGACCCGACGCTTGCCATGGAGACCCGGTAGCATCTGTGGTTCGGTCTGCTCACTTACATCTTCAGTGGATTGCCCAGCCATATCTAGACACAAGGGCGCTCACCATACTGGTCCATGCGCTTGTAGTCTCAAGAATACACTACTGTAACACTCTCTACATGGGGCTTCCTTTGAGACAGATAGGGAAGCTTCAGATGGTCCAGAACACGGCGGCCAGGTTTTTAACAAGGGTGAAAAGATTTCACCATATCTCCCCCTCTTTGGCCACATAACACTGGCTACCTATCTGCTTCTGCATTGATTTCAAATTGTTAACCATTACATATAAAGCCCTTAGTGGTTTAGGCCCTTGATACCTGGCAGAGCACCTTCTTCTGCCCAGTTCTACTCATATCACCCGCTTCAGTCAGGCTGAGCGGCTGAGGGGCCTAATGCCAAGAGAGGCCCGGTGGGGAAAAAAACAGAAATCGGGCCTTTTTGGCAGTGGCCCCTTTGGTACATCTTACCTGTTGAGATCCACCTGGCTCCCTCACTGAGGGCCTTCAAGACTAACTTGAAGACATGGCTATACAGGCAGGCCTTCCCTACAGCCATTACCTAGCCTATCTCCCCTTTACTTTCTTTTCTTTTCTCTCCTTCCTCTTTTCCCACCCCCTCTTTCTTTTTTCCTTTCCCATCTTGGATTAATCTGGATGTTATCTTAGTTTATTTTTATATTATATGTAAACTGCCCAGAGTAGACATGTTCTAGATGGGCGGCATATAAATCTAATAAACAAACAAACAAACAATTAATTAAAAGGTCTGGAAACTTAATACCTATGAGAAATGGTTGAGAGAGCTAGGAATGTTTAGCATGGAATAAAGAAGACTGCAAGGCAATAGGCTAGAAATCTTCAAACATGTTGTTGACATGATAACAATCCTGCATGCACTAACAGCAGATATCTGTGTATGTGTGTGTATGTGTGTCCGACTTACTTCATAACCTAAGGTAATTGCCCTTTGTCACTAACCTATTAGTAAAGTTATTTTCCACACCTCTTGCATTTGAGGCAAGCCCACACCCCCTCTTCCTTTTTTGCTCACTTTTGTATGTGCTATTGGTAGCCTTCTCTTTGGATGGAGCTCTCTTTCAAGTGGCAGACTCCATATATTTTCATTTTTATTCCTGTGAGTGTAACTGCAGATTGTAACTGTAAGTAAAGATACCTTTTTTCCTACATAAAATGTTCCTAAAATGATATATTACATAAAGTGCTAGTCACTGTGAAAGGGAATGGAGTGCTGGGACTTGGGTTATTCTCTCACATTTCCTGGCTGCTTTTTATTTTTATTTTTTTAACCTCATACTCTGCAAACTATATACAGAATAATAATTCTGTGTAGTCTAACCAGTCTAGGCCCCGGAATAAATCTTCAGTGGCCCCAACCAATAAAGAGGGTCAAAAACTTGATATTCTCAGCAGGAGAATTTATTCCCTTCAATCCTTTCTACTCAGAGTTGCCAACTACCAAGCTGTGACGGGAGCTTATCAGCGCCAGCTTTGGAATAAAATTTTTCCCATCCTTGTATCAGCACCTGAGTCCATTAAGACTGATGTTATTAATGCTCATACAGAAGCCACAACTTTGGCTAAACAGCAAAGAATTTCTGCTAGACATACAGCGGACATGGCATCAACAACTCTGGCATCCTTGATAGCGTTGCGTAGGCACGCATGGCCTGTTAGATGATGCAAAGTTAAGGACAGAAGACCTTCCCTTTGACGGCACAGGACTCTAACCAAAAGACGGACGAGACTATGGAAAACCTCCATAAGATATGAAAAACCGCAAGATCATACACTAACCAACAACATTTCAGATACCAATGAGCTTAATACAGACAGAATCCATTCTATCAACAATCATTTCAACAACCATATCAGAGATTTCAGTCATATTGACAATTCAG